TCCCCAAATAAGAATGCTTTTTTTAAAATCTGATTGCGGGGCGTCTTTTGTTAGGTTGTTTTCCCCCCCTTTTTGGTCAAATTTTTAAAATTACCCCAAAATAAAAAATAATAAAAATAATATCCATTTAGCAGACATTTTACCCAAAAGCGCTTACGTCAGCTTGCATAAATTTTTTTCACTATGGGGGGTCCCGGGGTCGAACCCCTACCCGGCTTTTACTCCCCGGCGTTACAAGCGCCATTTTCTACCATTGGCTACAGGCCCTGTATCAATTTTTCAATTTTTTTATTTGGAGGGGCGGATTCGGTAGGGTGAGCCAGCCTCCTGGGGGAGGTACGGTGGGGCAGCCAGGCCTCCTAGGGGAGGTACGTAGGGCACCAGGCCTCCTGGGAGGTAGGGTAGGGCGACCAGGCCTCCTAGGGGATCGGTAGGGGGAGCCGGCCTCCTGGGAGTAGGTGGGTGACCAGCCCCCTAGGGGGAGGTACGTGGGCGAGCCAGCCTCGTGGGGAAGGTAGGGGTAGGTGAGCCGGCCTCCATGGGGTACGGAAGGGTGACCAGGCCTCCTGGGGAGGTACGGTAGGGTGACCAGCCCCCTAGGGGAGGACGGTAGGGCCCAGCCCCGTGGAGGTACGGTGGGTGAGCCGGGCCCCCCTGGGGAGATACGGTGGGGGCGGCCAGGCCTCCTGGGGGAGGTACGGTGGTGACCAGGCCCCCTGGGGGAGGTACTAGGGCGGCCGGGCCCCTAGTGGAGTAGGGGTAGGGCAGCCGCCTCGTGGGGAAAGGGTCGTAGGGCGAGCCAGCTTTAAAAAGCTTTCATCCCAATGACCCCTATCCCCATATAGGGCACTACCTTTGACCAGGGCCCATAGAGTGCCACTTATACAGCCGCTTCTAAATATGTGTGGAGAAACACCTCCTCCTGCTGGAGAACTGAGGAAGTGCACCTAAATCATCTAAACCAGCCACTTATAACAGTATCATTACCATCTGTTTGATATCAAATGGTTCATAGCAAAGTGTTGTTGAAGTGGTTGAAGACAGGTGCAGGTGTATAGAGCTGTAGTCAGTATTATATGAGAGGATCAGAGAGGGTTTTTGTAGAGGAGAGAGGGTATAGTGAAACACGGTGCATCACTAGCAGCACAGAAATACACTGCACTGTCTTCAGCTTCTCTCAGTTTGGGAATATGTAGATACGCCATTTTGTTAGCTGCACCATCTCCACTCACATTAAAAACGCTCTTTAAAAAGGAATCTTCCACCATTGGACTGGTGTATCTCACATACCCAATGAGTTTCAGAGCAGTGTTTTGGGCTGACTGTTGGTACCACAGTATCATGTAGTAGTTTGAAACATTGTGGCTGCAGCTGAGCTGAACTTTATCTTCAGGTCTTTTTAGTATTTCAGTAGGAGTCTGGTGAACTTTGTCTGTTTGTGACAGCCCTGTGGATGAAAACAGACAATATGAAATATACAGTAGCAACATACTTCAGTAGTAAATATATATTTCATGAGGGACTTAGTACCTGTCACCCATAGTAGTAGAGTTGCTACTTGTATGAGGAGCGTGATCATGTTGATGGTTCTGGAGAGAAGTGTCACATGGACAAGGAGAAAGGGTTTTCAGATAGTCAGAGATGTGTTGTCAGCTAGTGGGAGTGTCAAATGTATACTGCATCCCAAATGGCACCCTATTCCCTTTATAGTGCACTACTTTAGACCAGAGTCCATAGGGGTGAGAGGAAACGCGTCTCCCGAGTGGCGCAGTGGTCTAAGGCAATGCATCGCAGTGCTAGCTGTGCCACTAGAGATCCTGGTTCTAATCCAGGCTCTGTCGTAGCAGGCCGCGACCGGGAGACCCATGGGGCGGCGCACAATTGGCCCAGCGTCGTCCAGGGTAGGGGAGGGAATGGCCGGCAGGGATGTAGCTAAGTTGGTAGAGCGTGGCGTTTGCAACGGCAGGGTTGTGGATTCAATTCCCATGGGGGCCAATATGAAATATGAAGAAGAAAAAAACACTAACTGTAAGTCGCTCTGGATAAGAGCGTCTGCTAAATGACTAAAATGTACAAATTAAATAAGTCAATAGAGACGCTGAACTGAGTTGCCGGAGGGGAAGGAAATTACATCACTTTGATGACAGAACTTATGTTGATATTCAAGCAGATACCTTGTTTGTTCACCTACAGGTCTCCTGTACAATTTAAAGGTGTATTGTGGAACATACCTGTAACTACATCATTGAAAGTATTTGTCTTTTTTAGTCTTTGTTTTTGATCTTGTTTTAATTCTGCAGAAATCAACACCAAAATGGGGCTGTAATTTAAAGAAATCCCCAAAAACCGTTCTTCAAAAAAAAACAACCCACATTATTTGGTATAAGGTTGTAACAACTTCCCCATGTGCTCAACTCTCCCAAAAGGGGTGATAGCAGGTCTGCTGGGTGTTGTTTGTAACGCATTTAGGAGTAAGGGATAAAGGGGGGTTTTTGGAAAGAAGAAGGTACCCTCATCCTGGTGATTTTCAGGTCAAACTAATCACTGCACTTCTTCGGGTCAGAACGTCAAAACTGCACTGTCTTCAGGTCAAACAGAATCACTGCACTGTCTTCAGGTCAAAAACGTAAACCCCCCTGTCTTCAGCAGAACAGTAACACACTGCACTGTTTTTCAGGTCAAAAACATAATACCTGCCTGTTTCGGGTCAAACTAATACACGGCCTGTCTTCGGGTCAAACATAAACCTGCACTGTCTTCAGGTAAACAAAACCCGCACTTCTTCAGGTCAAACAGTAATAAAAACTGCACTGTCTTCGGGGTCAAAACTATACACTGCCTGTTTTCAGGTCAAACAGTAATCACTGCACTGTCTTCAGGCAGCACAGGGAATACCGCACTGTCTTCGGGTCAAACAAAACCCAACTACTGTCTTCGGTCAGACAGTATACACTGCACTTCTTCGGGTCAAAACTTACCTAAAAATGTCTTCGGGTCAGACGTAAACACGCACTGTTTTCGGGTCAGAACAGTAATACACTGCACTGACTTCAGCAGAAACGAAACAAACTGCACTTCTTCAGGTCGAACATATACACTGCCTGACTTCGGGTCAAACAAAAATACACTGCACGTCTTCGGGTCAAACGTAATACCCCCCTGTTTTCGGTCAAAACAGAAATACCTCACGTCCTTCGGGTCAGAACAGAACTGAAAAATGCTTCTTTCTTTTCCATTCCTTTTTTTTTCAAAGGCTTTTTTAAAAAACCCTTAAACGCCCTACTTTAAAATACACATATCCAATCAGTTTGAGACTATATGCTATTGACTGCTGGTACCATAATATAGTGTTGTAAAACTGTACTATGGCGCATTTGAATAACTGTAACATTGGGGCTTCCCAATAGTGCTGAGAGAACCTGGTGGACTTTACGTGATGAAAGCCTGGTCAGATGAGTCCCCACTGGGCGATGGAATAGAGAAAGAAAGCAGAGAGTACAAGAGAGGGGGGGGGGAGGGAAGGGAGAGGGGGGGGGGCAGGGGGGAAAAATGGGGGGGGAGGGGGAAAAGAGGGGGGGGGTTACGGAGGAGAAAGAGGGAGTGACAAGAGATAGGGGGGGGCAGGGGGGGAGATGGGGGGAGGGGGGAAAGGGGGGGTTACGGGGGAAAAAGAGTGAGAGTGACAGAGAGAGGGGGGCAGGGGGGAAAGTGGGGCAGGGGAGAGAAAGGGGGAGGTTACGGAAGAGAAAGAAGGGAGAGGCACAGAGAGCGAGAGAGAGAGGGGGGGGGGGGGAAAGAGAGAGGGGGGGACAAAAAGGGGGGGGAGAGGGGGGGGGCAGGGGAGGGGGAGAGAGAGAGGGACAGGGGAAGGAAAAGAGGGGGGCAGGGAAGAAGAGGGGCCAAAAGGGAAAAGAGAGGGGGGCAGGGGAGAGGGGGAAAGGAGGGGGGGTTGGGGGGGGGTTTTTTTCAAAAAAAAAAAACCCCCCTCTTCCCCCCCCCCTTTCTCCCCCTCTTCCCTTTTCCCCCCCTCTCTCTCCTCCCCCTCTCTTTTTTCCCCCCCTCTCCCCCTCCTTCTTCTCCCGCCCCCCCCCTTTTTTTTTCCCCCCTTTTTTTTTTCCCTTTATTTTTTTTTCCCCCTTTTTTTTTTCCGGGGGTTTTTTTCCCCCCTTTTCCCCCTTTCCTCTCCCTCCTCCCTCTCGCTTCCCCTCTCCCTTCTCTCCCCCCTTTTTTTTGTTTTTTTCTCTCTTTTTTCTCCTTCTCTCCCTTCCGGGTTTTTTGGCCCCCCTTCTTTTTCTTTCCCTTTTTTTCCTCCCCCTCCCCCTCTCTCCCCCCCCCCCCCCTCTTTACCCCTCTTCCTCTCTTCTTGGGGCTCCTTCCCCTTCCCCTCCCCCTGGGGGGGGGTGGGCCCCGGGGCCCTTTTTTCCCTCCTTTTCCCTCTTTTTTTTTCCGTTTCTTTGTTATTTTTTTCCCCAAAATAAATTTTCCCCCCACCTCCCCCCCTTCTTCCCCGGAAAGCCCCCTTTTATCCCTTTTTTTGTGGTATTTGTCTTATTCCCCCCCCCTTTACCCAAATCCAAAAATTAACAAAATTTCCCTTTTCTCCCCCAAAATTCTTCCCCTCAAAATTAAATAAATTAGGGGCCGTCTTTTAACAATTTATAATTTTGGGGTTTATGAAACCCTGAAAATTTTTCAGAAGAATTGGAAAAAAGTGAAGGAAATTTCTTTTTCCTTATTTTTGGAGTCTGAAAATCTTTAATTCCAAAAAAAAACCCTTAGTGTTGACCAGTTCCACGGAGGCACTTTTTAGTCCCCAATTGGGGGCCCGGGGTTGGAATTTACAAAAAAGACTGTTAAGATGTGAGGGGGGTTAAAATTTAAAGATTTAGACACAGGAATTGAAACATCAGCTCTTTGATAGAATTTTATTAAAAATTTCCCCCTTTAAAACATTTCCCTTTTAAATTTTGGGTTTAAATATAAATTTTTAAAGCCGCGGCCGGATGGAAAAAAAAAAAAAAAAAAAAAAAAAAAAAAAAAATTGCCCCAAACTCCCGAAAAAATTTTTTTAAAGAGAAAAAGATTTCCCCAAAAAAATGAAATTTGCAATTAAATTGCCAAAGACCCTCTTTGCCCGAAAATGAAAAATTAAATCCCCAAATGATATTTGTCTTCACTGAAATCCCCTGAATACTCAGATTTGGAATTGGGAGAAGTGAAGGCTACCTGCTTTATTCCCTCTCCTGGACGCTGTCTGTACCAGTACATCTGGTAGTAGTTTACACCCTTAGTGTGACTGCAGTTCATCTGAGCATCACTGTCTTTCAGTCCCCAGAGTATGGTGGGTGTCTGAGTGACTTCACTCCCCACAACAAGACCTGTAAGGATACAGTGAGAATTAAATCAATAGAGTTAGATACAGTTAGACCTGAATACATCAAGACTCAGGTGAAGTGAACGTATGCTTGGAAACATCAATATCTATAACTATAGAAGGCCGTCATTGTAAATAACAATTTACTTCTCAACTTTCCTGGTTAAATAAATGAAACATTATGAAACTGTACCTGCAGCACAGAGCACTAAGACAGTAACAGTGAAGAGAAATGTGAACATGTTTGATCACGTTATATGTGAGAGTGCTGGAAAGAGTCTGGTATCAATGTACAGAATAAAAGAGGAGTGTCACATAGATGAATAGATGACAATCAGTAGACCACGGCAGGTTTCACCATATTGAACATGTCAGTGAAGTGGGAGGGACACTGATGATCTGAATACATCATGCAAATGACTGGTTAAGACTGTAGAGACGTTCACATTATTAAAGATAGAGGTCCCCCTACAGGACATGATGAGACCATCAGCTCTTTAGATATTATATTCTATCCTATAGAGCTCGCCAGCTTGTACAGTCGTGGTCAAAAGTTTTGAGAATTACACAAATATTAATTTTCACAAAGTCTGCTGCCTCAGTTTTTATGATGTCAAATTGCATAGACTCCAGAATGTTATGAAGAGTGATCAGATGAATTGCAATTAATTGCAAAGACCCTCTTTGCCATGAAAATGAACTTAATCCCCAAAAAACATTTCCACTGCATTTCAGCCCTGCCACAAAAGGACCAGCTGACATCATGTCAGTGATTCTCTCGTTAACACAGGTGAGAGTGTCAGTGGCTGGAGATCACTCTGTCATGCTGATTGAGTTAGAATAACAGACTGGAAGCTTTAAAAGGAGGGTGGTGCTTGAAATCATTGTTCTTCCTCTGTTAACCATGGTTACCTGCAAGGAAACACGTGCCGTCATCATTGCTTTGCACAAAAAGGGCTTCACAGGCAAGGATATTGCTGCTAGTAAGATTGTACCTAAATCAACCATTTATCGAATCATCAAGAACTTCAAGGAGAGAGGTTCAATTGTTGTAAAGAAGGCATCAGGGAGCCCAAGAAAGTCCAGCAAGCACCAGGACTGTCTCCTAAAGTTGATTCAGCTGTGGGATCGGGGCACCACCAGTGCAGAGCTTGCTCAGGAATGGCAGCAGGCTGGTGTGAGTGCATCTGAACGCACAGTGAGGTGAAGAATTTTGGAGGATGGCCTGGTATCAAGAAGGGCAGCGAGGAAGCCACTTCTATCCAGGAAAAACATCAGGGACAGACTGATATTCTGCAAAAGGTACAGGGATTGGACTGCTGAGGACTGGGGTAAAGTCAGTTTCTCTGATGAATCCCCTTTCCAATTGTTTGGGGCATCCGGGAAAAAAGCTTGTCCGGAGAAGACAAGGTGAGCACTACCATCAGTCCTGTGTCATGCCAACAGTAAAGCATCCTGAGACCATTCATGTGTGGGGTTGCTTCTCAGCCAAGGGAGTGGGCTCACTCACAATTTTGCCTAAGAACACAGCCATGGATAAAGAATGGTACCAACACATCCTCCGAGAGCAACTTCTCCCAACCATCCAAGAACAGTTTGGTGACGACCAATGCCTTTTCCAGCATGATGGAGCACCTTGCCATGAGGCGAAAGTGATAACTAAGTGGCTCGGGGAACAAAACATCAACATTTTGGGTCCATGGCCAGGAAACTCCCCACACCTTAATCCCATTGAGAACTTGTGGTCAATCCTCAAGAGGCGGGTGGACAAACAAAAACCCACAAATTCTGACAAACTCCAAGCATTGATTATGCAAGAATGGGCTGCCATCAGTCAGGATGTGGCCCAGAAGTTAATTGACAGCATGCCAGGGCGGATTGCAGAGGTCTTGAAAAATAAGGGTCAACACTGCAAATATTGACTCTTTGCATAAACTTAATGTAATTGTCAATAAAAGCCTTTGACACTTATGGAATGCTTGTAATTATACTTCAGTATACCATAGTAACATCTGACAAAAATATCTCATAACAATGAAGCAGCAAACTTTGTGAAGACCAATACTTGTGTCATTCTCAAAACTTTTCACCACGACTGTAGTAGTTAGGGATAGCATGGCTGCAGGTGAGTTGAACGTTTCCTCCAGGTCCTTCTATTAGTGCAACAGGGCTCTGATTAACCATGCCACTAAACGACTCTCCTGTGGAGAGAGAGAGAGAGAGAGAGAGAGAGAGAGAGAGAGAGAGAGAGAGAGAGAGAGAGAGAGAGGAGAGAGATAGATAGATCGAGAGATGAGAGAGAGAGAGAGAGAGAGAGAGAGAGAGAGAGGATATTTTATTCAGTTTGATGACATTCGTAGAATTGTTAGGCTTCTCATCGTAAGTGATTTAATACCTGTCACCCAGAGTGGTAGAGCTGCCAGGTGAATCAGAACTCTGAACATGATGATGAAGGAGAAGATGATGATGATGAAGATGCTGAGGAAGACGATGATGATGAGGAAGCCTCAGTGGAGGAGTGATATGAGTGTCTCCTGGATGAAGCTCTGAGGTGAAAGGAGAGGGGCTGATGTTGTAGTATCCTGTTTCCTTTAGGGTGGTGGATAGTGAGAGTGTTAGAGGGAGTGGCAGGAAGCCTGTACTGTAAAGCTTGCTCATAGGACCTCACTGTGAACATGACTGATTACATGATCATGACAATGAAACCATCAGACATTAGAAGAACTAGAGTTAGAGGTCCCCCTACAGTACGTGATGAGACCATCTCTTTACATATTATATTCCATCCTATTGAAACTCTGGGGTTTTTGTGCAGCTGTGCTTGTCGTCTGTATCACTGTGTTCACTCACGGCACAGAAATACATGCCGCTGTCTCCTGCCTCCACCTTCTTCACTGTGAAAGATCCACTCTCAGCATCTGTCTTAACAGTTGGATATTTGTCTTCACCGAAGGCTCCATAGTCTGGTTTGCTATAACTACTTGTGAAGACTACCTGCTTCATTCCCTCTCCTGGACGCTGTCTGTACCAGTACATCTGGTTGTAGGTAGCTCCCTTAGTGTGACTGCAGTTCATCTGAGCATCACTGTCTTTCAGTCCCCAGAGTATGGTGGGTGTCTGAGTGACTTCACTCCCCTCAACAAGACCTGTAAGGATACAGTGAGAATTAAATCAATAGAGTTAGATACAGTTAGATCTGAATACATCAAGACTCAGGTGAAGTGAACGTATGCTTGGAAACATCAATATCTATAACTATAGAAGGCCGTCATTGTAAATAACAATTTACTTCTCAACTTTCCTGGTTAAATAAATGAAACATTATGAAACTGTACCTGCAGCACAGAGCACTAAGACAGTAACAGTGAAGAGAAATGTGAACATGTTTGATCACGTTATATGTGAGAGTGCTGGAAAGAGTCTGGTATCAATGTACAGAATAAAAGAGGAGTGTCACATAGATGAATAGATGACAATCAGTAGACCACGGCAGGTTTCACCATATTGAACATGTCAGTGAAGTGGGAGGGACACTGATGATCTGAATACATCATGCAAATGACTGGTTCAGACTGTAGAGACGTTCACATTATTAAAGATAGAGGTCCCCCTACAGGACATGATGAGACCATCAGCTCTTTAGATATTATATTCTATCCTATAGAGCTCGCCAGCTTGTAGTCCTAAAAAACTGAAAGGAGTCAGCATTTTCTACCTCTGGTTCGTTGGCCGTTGCTATGGGAGGAATGAAGGGGGGAAATAATGGGGTTTTGGGATAGGTTAACACAGGCTTTCGAGAACTTATAGGTTTTGTTCTGTGAGATAATATCAGTCAGTTAACATGACCTTTATGAATTATGAAGCCTTTATGTGCTCAAAATAAGTATGTTGCTAACGAGTCGCTAACTGTCAGAGAAATGGAACTACCACATTAGTCGCAGCATTTTTCACGTCACTACGCTGACCACGCAAACTAGTCTTCTACAGTCTGGCTAAAAAGCTGGTTAGCTTAGTTAGCTTTTTGATCACCAGTTCGAACGAAAATGGAAATCTCTTCAGCGGGAAGATGCTCGTTTTATTGGTTCCCGAACAATAAAACTGGGTTTTTGTTATATTATATCAACTCTGGGGGTTTAGTGCAGCTGTACTTGTTATATTATATCAACACTGGGGGTTTAGTGCAGCTGTACTTGTTATTTTATATCAACAATGGGGGTTTAGTGCAGCTGTACTTGTTATAGTATATCAACACTGGGGGTTTAGTGCAGCTGTACTTGTTATATTATATCAACACTGGGGGTTTAGTGCAGCTGTACTTGTTATATTATATCAAAACTGGGGGTTTAGTGCAGCTGTAGTTGTTATATTATATCAACACTGGGGGTTTAGTGCAGCTGTACTTGTTATATCAACTCTGCGGCTTTAGTGCAGCTGTACTTGTTATATTATATCAACACTGGGGGTTTAGTGCAGCTGTACTTGTTATATCATCTATGGGGGTTTAGTACAGCTGTACTTGTTATATTATATCAACACTGGGGGTTTAGTGTAGCTGTACTTTTTATATCATATCTGGGGGTTTAGTACAGCTGTACTTGTTATATTATATCAACACTGGGGGTTTAGTGTAGCTGTACTTTTTATATCAACACTGGGGGTTTATTACAGCTGTACTTGTTATATTATATCAACACTGGGGTTTAGTGCAGTCTGTACTTGTTATATCAACTCTGGGGGTTTAGTGCAGCTGTACTTGTTATATTAATCCACACTGGGGTTTAGTACAGAAGTATACTTGTTTATATATATCAACACTGGGGGTTAGTGCAGCTGTACTTGTTATATTATATCAACACTTGGGGGTTTAGTGTAGATGTACTTGTTATATTATATCACACTGGGGGTTTAGTGCAGCTGTACTTGTTTATATTATTCAACACTGGGGGTTTAGTGCAGCTGTACTTGTTATATTATATAAACACTGGGGGTTTAGTGCAGCGTACTTGTTAGATTATATCAACAACTGGGGGGTTTAGTGCAGCTGTATGTTGGTTATATTATATCAACACTGGGGGGTTTAGTGCAGCTGTAGTTGTTATATGATATCACACTGGGGGTTTATTGCAGCTGTACCTTGTTATATCAACTCTTGGGTTTTAGTGCAGCTGTACTTGTTATAATTATATCACCACTGGGGGGTTAGTGCAGCTGTACTTGTTATATCAATCTGGGGGTTTTAGTACAGCTGTACTTGTTGATTTCTATCAACACTGGGGTTTTAGTGTAGCTTACTTTTTTATATCAACACTGGGGTTTAGTACCTGTACGTGTATACTTATATCACCACTTGGGGGTTTAGTGCAGCTGTACTTGTTATCTCACTATGGGGGTTAGTGCAGCTGTCTTTGGTATAGTAATCAACACTGGGGGTTTATTACAGAAGTACTATTATATTATAATCAACACTGGGGGGTTTAGTTTGCAGCTGTACTGTTTGTATATTATATCAACACTGGGGTTTATTATAGCTGTAAGTTGTTATATATACAACACTGGGGTTTAGAGTGCAGCTTTACTTGTTATAGTCAACTCTGGGGGTTTTAAGATGCAGCTGTACTTGTTATATATAATCACACTGGGGGTTTAGTGCAGCTGTATTGTTATATCATATTATCATATCTGGGGGTTTAGTACAGCTGTACTTGTTATATTATATCAACACTGGGGGTTTAGTGTAGCTGTACTTTTTATATCAACACTGGGGGTTTAGTACAGCTGTACTTGTTATATTATATCAACACTGGGGGTTTAGTGCAGCTGTACTTGTTATATCAACTCTGGGGGTTTAGTGCAGCTGTACTTGGTATATTATATCAACACTGAGGGTTTAGTACAGAAGTACTTGTTATATTATATCAACACTGGGGGTTTAGTGCAGCTGTACTTGTTATATTATATCAACAGCTATTTACCTTTCCATGGTAGCAAGATCTTGTCTATTTTTGCTAAATTTCTATTAAAATGTATTGAAGTGAGATCATTTATTTCCTTTGGGATATGTATTCCGAGTATATCCACATCACCATCATACCATTTTATTGGTAAACTACATGGTAATTTTTTTTTTTTTTGTGATCCAATACGTAATATAGTACATTTGTCATAATTTTGTTGTAATCCAGAGAGATTAGAAAATGTATCTATATCCTCTATGAGGCTGTGGAGGGATTCTAGTTGTGGATTTAAAAGAAAACATGAATCATCAGTGTACAATGACACCTTTGTTTTTAAGCCCTGGATTTCTAATCCTCTGATATTATTGTTGGATCTGATTTTAATAGCTAATATCTTGATGGCCACAATAAATAGATATGCCGATAGTGGACAACCTTGTTTCACTCCTCTTGACAGTTTAAAACTCTCTGAGAAATAGCCATTATTTACTATTTTACACCTATGGTTACTATACATGATTTTGACCCCTTTTATAAGAGATTTTCCTAAATTGAAATGCTCCAGGCATTTATATATAAACCCCAGTCGTACTTTATCAAATGCCTTTTCGAAGTCTGCTATGAATAGCAGGCCTGGTTTCCCAGATTTTAACATAGTGTTCTATGTATTTCTGTTTTTTAATTTGTAATACATTTTACAACAATTTCTAAAAGCCTGTTTTTCACTTTGTCATTATGGGGGAATTGTGTGTAGATTGCTGAATATTTTTTATTTAATTAGCAACATACTTCAGTAGTAAATATATCTTTCATGAGGGACTTAGTACCTGTCACCCATAGTAGTAGAGTTGCTACTTGTATGAGGAGCGAGATCATGTTGATGGTTCTGGAGAGAAGTGTCACATGGACAAGGAGAAAGGGTTTTCAGATAGTCAGAGATGTGTTGTCAGCTAGTGGGAGTGTCAAATGTATACTGCATCCCAAATGGCACCCTATTCCCTTTATATAGTGCACTACTTTAGACCAGAGTCCATAGGGGTGAGAGGAAATAAGTCAATAGAGACGGTGAGCTGAACTGAGCTGCCGGAGGGGAAGGAAATGGCATCACTTTGACGTCAGAACTTATGTTGATGTTCAAGCAGATACCTTGTTCACCTACAGGTCTCCTGTTCAACTTAAAGGTGTATTGTGGAACATACCCGTATCTACATCATTGAAAGTTTTTGTATTTTTTAGTCTTTAGAGTTTACCTATGTTTTAGATTCTGCAGTAATCACACTACCAAATAGGCTGTAATTTGAAGAAATACCTCAACCGTTTCTTCAAAGCAACAACATCCAACCACATTATTTTGGTATAGAGGTTTGATAACATCTTCCTCCATGTGCTCAGACATCTACAAGCGGTGGATAGCAGGTCTGCTGGGTGTTGATGTACACTGCAGTTATGGAGTAACGGACAGAAGGGGTTTTGTAGAAGAGAGAAAAGGTATCTACATCACTGTGTTGACTTCAGGACAGAAACCGTAATACACTGCACTGTCTTCAGGTCAGAAACAGTAAACACACTGCACTGTCTTCAGGTCAGAACAGTAATACAACTGCACTGTCTTCAGGTCAGAAACAGTAATACACTGCACTGTCTTCAGGTCAGAACACGTAATACACTGCACTGTCTTCAGGTCAGAACAGTAACACACTGCACTGTCCTTGCAGGTCGGAACAAACAGTAACACACTGCACTGTCTTTAGGGTCAGAACAGTAATACACTGCACTGGTCTTCAGGTCATAACATATAATACACTGCACCTGTCTTCAGGTCAGAAACAGTAATACACTGCACTGTCTTCATGTCAGAACAGTAAACACTGCACTGTCTTCAGGTCAAACCGTAACCCAACTGCATCTGTCCTGCCGGCCTCCGACCGTACGGCCGCTACAATAGGTAGTACGTACGGCCCAGTACATCCTGGTCCAAGCTTCCTGCCATCCAGGACCCTCAATACCATGCGTGTCAGAGGAAGGCCCACAAAATGGTCAAAGACCCAGCCACCCTATCATAGACTGTTCTCTCTTCTACGCAACTGAAGCGGTACTGGAGACTTGGAGCGCCAAGTTCTCGGACAAAAGGCGCCTTAACCACTTCTAACCCCCAAGCAACGACTCCTGAACAATATAATCAAATGCTCACCTCAAGTATTTACAATTGCCCCTCGCTGTTTATTATCTATGCATAATCCACTTTAAACCCATACCTACATGTACAAATTACCTCGACTAACCTGTACCCCCCTCCCCCCACTGCCCCGCGCACAGTGACTCGGTACCCAACACCCGGTACCCTGTATAATGGCCCTCGTTAATTGTTATTTTATTGTGTTCTTTTTATTAAAAGTTTTTACTTTTGGTTTAATTATTTTCTTACTTCTCTTTCTTGAACTGCAAGGTTTGTTAAAAGAAGGGCCGTATGTAAGCTTTTTAGGTAAGGTAAACACGCTGGTTTATTTTTTCTTTTTTCCCGTTTCCTCCCGTGTTCTCGCCTTCCGCTTTCGTTCCCTTCGTTCGTCCTTTTTCGTTTCCCTTCGGTTTCGTGTCGGCGCACATGTGACAAATTACAATTTCATTTCATTTCATTTGATTTGGCACAAAGGTCAAAAGAGATTGAGGGAGGGGGCTGGGGAAGAGATATCGATTTTAGCTCTCTCTCGATCTGATCCTTTTTTTGGGTGTTCTCTCTCTCCCCCTCTCTCCCTTTTGGCTACCTCCATTTTTGGTTCTTCTTCTGTGCTTGTTTTTTTTTTGTTTTGCGCTCTTTCTTCGCTTCTCTCTCGCGCTCTCGCGCCCGGGTTTTGTGTGTTTCTCTGATCTCTCCGCGCTCTCCTCCATCTCCTTCTCTCTCCGCTCTGCCTCTCTTCTCTCTCGCTGCGCGCTCTGTTTTTTTTTTGTGTTCTGTTTCTCTTCTCGCGCTCTCCCCTTTGTTTGTTCTGTCTCGCTCTTCTCTCTCTCATCTCTCTCTACTCTCTCTCCTCTCGCTTCTCCCGCCTCTCCCGCCTCTGACTCGCGCTCTCTCATCCCGTTTCGTGGGTCTTGCCTCGCTCTCTTGTTGCTCTTGCCGGGTCCTGTGCACTCACCTCTATACGGGGAGTAGTCATGGCCTATGCACCTTGTACCCAATGCATAATTTATGTTAGATGAGTGGTGACACGAAACTGTAATACCAGTGTAAAAAATCTGTACCAGTACTGATACTCCCACCTTTTGCTTATGTCATAATCCTCTGTGGTTATTCATTTGCACTGAACAAGTCACAACCCTCAGATCAGGTGTTTCTGATCATGTGCTAATATACTATCAGATAGGTTTTATTGTAAGGAGATGAAAGTACGTCTCTTCTACATCACTTGTTGGCTGGCCTTGCACAGTAATAAACTGCAAAAACTGTCCCTTCAGGTCCTCCCTGAAATCAAACCAAAAAGGAGATGAAGATAAGCCTCTTTTCTCCACCGATCTCCCCCCACTCAGCAACAAACCAACAAAAACATTGAAGTGCTTTTCACTAAAGTGGGTTCCTTCCAAGTTTTAAAATGACTTCCAATTTACACATAACCCTGAGTTTCAATCAAATCAATAGAGCAGTGTCTCCTTGCTGACTGTTGGTACCCAATAGTATCATGCGTAGTTAGGAATATTATGGCTGGCCGGTGATTTGAAACGTTTCCTTCCAGGTCCTTCTATTAGTGGCAACAGGGCTCCTGATTAACCATGCCACGGAAACGGACTCTCCTGTGGAGAGAGAGAGAGAGAGAGAGGGAGAGAGAGAGAGAAGAGATAGATAGAGAGGAAGGAGAGAGAGAGGATAAGAGTGAGAGAGAGAGTGAGAGATGAGAGGAGAAGGAGTGAAGAGAGAGGATATTTCATTCAGTTTGATGACATTCGTAGATTTGTTAGGCTTCTCATCGTAAGTGATTTAATACCTGTCACCCAGAGTGGTAGAGCTGCCAGGTGAATCAGAACTCTGAACATGATGATGAAGGAGAAGATTATGATGATGAAGATGCTGAGGAAGACGATGATGATGAGGATGCCTCAGTGGAGGAGTGATATGAGTGTCTCCTGGATGAAGCTCTGAGGTGAAAGGAGAGGGGCTGATGTTGTAGTATCCTGTTTCCTTTAGGGTGGTGGATAGTGAGAGTGTTAGAGGGAGTGGCAGGAAGCCTGTACTGTAAAGCTTGCTCATAGGACCTCACTGTGAACATGACTGATTACATGATCATGACAATGAAACCATCAGACATTAGAAGAACTAGAGTTAGAGGTCCCCCTACAGTACGTGATGAGACCATCTCTTTACATATTATATTCCATCCTATTGAAACTCTGGGGTTTTTGTGCAGCTGTGCTTGTCGTCTGTATCACTGTGTTCACTCACAGCACAGAAGTACATGCCGCTGTCTCCTGCCTCCACCTTCTTCACTGTGAAAGATCCAGTCTCAGCATCTGTCTTAACAGTTGGATATTTGTCTTCACCGAAGGCTCCATAGTCTGGTTTGCTATAACTACTTGTGAAGACTACCTGCTTCATTCCCTCTCCTGGACGCTGTCTGTACCAGTACATCTGGTAGTAGTCAGATCCCTTAGTGTGACTGCAGTTCATCTGAGCATCACTGTCTTTCAGTCCCCAGAGTATGGTGGGTGTCTGAGTGACTTCACTCCCCTCAACAAGACCTGTAAGGATACAGTGAGAACGAAATCAATAGAGTTAGATACAGTTAGACCTGAATACATCAAGACTCAGGTGAAGTGAACGTATGCTTGGAAACATCAATATCTATAACTATAGAAGGCCGTCATTATAAATAAGAATTTACTTCTCAACTTTCCTGGTTAAATAAATGAAACATTATGAAACTTTACCTGCAGCACAGAGCAGTAAGACAGTAACAGTGAAGAGAAATGTGAACATGTTTGATCACGTTATATGTGAGAGTGCTGGAAAGAGTCTGGTATCAATGTACAGAATAAAAGAGGAGTGTCACATAGATGAATAGATGACAATCAGTAGACCACGGCAGGTTTCACCATATTGAACATGTCAGTGAAGTGGGAGGGACACTGATGATCTGAATACATCATGCAAATGACTGGTTCAGACTGTAGAGACGTTCACATTATTAAAGATAGAGGTCCCCCTACAGGACATGATGAGACCATCAGCTCTTTAGATATTATATTCTATCCTATAGAGCTCGCCAGCTTGTAGTCCTAAAAAACTGAAAGGAGGCAGCATTTTCTACCTCTGGTTCGTTGGCCGTTGCTATGGGAGAAATTAAGTGGGGAAATAATGGGGTTTTGGGATAGGTTAACACAGGCTTTGGAGAACTTATAGGTTTTGTTCTGTGAGATAATATCAGTCAGTTAACATGACCTTTATGAATTATGAAGCCTTTATGTGCTCAAAATAAGTCTGTTGCTAACGAGTCGCTAACTGTCAGAGAAATGGAACTACCACATTAGTCGCAGCATTTTTCACGTCACTACGCTGACCACGCAAACTAGTCTTCTACAGTCTGGCTAAAAAGCTAGTTAGCTTAGTTAGCTTTTTGATCACCAGTTCGAACGAAAATGGAAATCTCTTCAGCGGGAAGATGCTCGTTTTATTGGTTCCCGAACGATAAAACTGGGTTTTTGTTATATTATATCAACTCTGGGGGTTTAGTGCAGCTGTACTTGTTATATTATATCAACACTGGGGGTTTAGTGCAGCTGTACTTGTTATATTATATCAACACTGGGGGTTTAGTGCAGCTGTACTTGTTATTATTATATCAACTCTGGGGGTTTAGTGCAGCTGTACTTGTTATATTATATCAACACTGGGGGTTAGTGCAGCTGTACTTGTTATATTATATCAACACTGGGGGTTTAGTGCAGCTGTACTTGTTATATTATATCAACACTGGGGGTTTAGTGCAGCTGTACTTGTTATATTATATCAACACTGGGGGTTTAGTGCAGCTGTACTTGTTATATTATATCAACACTGGGGGTTTAGTGCAGCTGTACTTGTGATATTATATCAACACTGGGGGTTTAGTGCAGCTGTACTTGTTATATTGTATCAACACTGGGGGTTTAGTGCAGCACTCCCCTCTGAGCTGTCTCTGCTAAGCCTAGCATCCTTTCCCTCAGCACTGGTACCAGAAGACCAGGGGACCACACTGCCTGTACTGGGACCAGCAACATCCTAGTTGTGAATGAATAAAGACATTTATTAGATAAAGAAGAAAGGTAGAAAGATGAATGAATACATGCCTAATAGTTGACTATTGGCTCACAAAACCTTATCAAAGCCTAACTACTTATATTGCAAATATACTGTAAGTGCCTGGCTGTCAGAGATGTTATTTTACCTACTTAGACAGACACACACACAATGACACATGTACATAGCCACAGGAAGTAGGGGTGCTGCAACACATTCTGAAAAATCAGAATAAAAAATAAAAAATAAAGATATAAAATAGGTCATTTAGCAGACGCTCTTATCCAGAGCGACTTACAGGAGCAATTAGGGTTAAGTGCCTTGCTCCAAGGGCACATCGACAGATTTTTCAACCTAATCGGCTCAGGGATTAGAACCAGCGACCTTTCGGTTAATGGCAACAACGCTCTAACCACTAAGGCTACCTGCCGCCCTAGATTCCTATGACCTTAAGAATTTAGGCTGTTCTGGGGCACCAAAGTGGGGTCCGACCCCGGGTACTAGCTGGTGTTGTGTGTACCTAATAAACTGGCAACTACGTGTATATTAGACAAAGAAGAAAATCACTGAATATCAAATTACCTCGACTAACCTGTATAATATTTCAAATTAGTACATTTCAAGTGTTTCCCCCCTGCCCACTAGATACGTGTTTAAATATTAGGCATCATCTAATTCAATTGAAGAAAACAGAGCGAGAGAAGGAGCGAGAGAGAGACTGCCAGTTCCTTAATGTTTTGGCTGTAGCCAATGGCTACATTAAGGAACTGCCGGTCTCCTCTCTCTCCTGCTCTCTCTGTTTTCTCCTATTGAATTCAATATACAACCTTCTGTGTTTGTCAAAGAACGATGCTGGGACTAGTTTATGTGGATGGGGATAGATTTCCAGGGTTGTGTTTCGTTGCCGAGAGCGTATGTGTATCTTTCTGCCAGGAAGTGACAGGCCTTTCAGCTAATGAAATAAGCGGGAGATAGGCGGGACTTTCCAGCCTTCAGTCCAGTGGCTATGTAATGTAATCTGACACCAGAGATACTTGCAGTGGTGGAAAAAGTATCCAATTGTCATACTTCAGTAAAAGTAAAGATACCTTAACTAGAAATTGACTCAAGTAAAAGTGAAAGTTACCCAGTTAAAACACTACTTGAGTACATTTACATTTACATTTACGTCATTTACCAGATGCTCTAATCCAGAGCGATTTACAAATTGGTGCATTCACCTTATAGCCAGTGGGAAAACCACTTTACAATATGTTTTTCTTTTTTTTTCTTTTTTTTGGGGGGTGAGGTAAGGTGGGGTAGAAGGATTACTTAATCCTATCCCAGGTATTCCTTAAAGAGGTGGGGTTTCAAGTGTCTCCGGAAGGTGGTGAGTGACTCCGCTGTCCTGGCGTCGTGAGGGAGCTTGTTCCACCATTGGGGTGCCAGAGCAGCGAACAGTTTTGACTGGGCTGAGCGGGAACTGTGCTTCCACAGAGGTAGGGGGGCCAGCAGGCCAGAGGTGGATGAACGCAATGCCTTCGTTTGGGTGTAGGGACTGATCAGAGCCTGATGGTACGGAGGTGCCATTCCCCTCACAGCTCCTTAGGCAAGCACCATGGTCTTGTAGCAGATGCGAGCTTCAACTGGAAGCCAGTGGAGTGTGCGGAGGAGCGGGGTGACGTGAGAGAACTTGGGAAGGTTGAACACCAGACGGGCTGAGGCATTCTGGATGAGTTGTAGGGATTAATGGCACAGGCAGGGACCCCAGCCAACAGCGAGTTGCAGTAATCCAGACGGGAGATGACAAGTGCCTGGATTAGGACCTGTGCCGCTTCCTGTGTAAGGCAGGGTCGTACTCTCCGAATGTTGTAGAGCATGAACCTACAGGATCGGGTCACCGCCTTGATGTTAGCGGAGAACGACAGGGTGTTGTCCAGGGTCACGCCAAGGCTCTTTGCACTCAGGGAGGAGGACACAACAGAGTTGTCAACCGTGATGGCGAGATCATGGAACGGCCAGTCCTTCCCCGGGAGGAAGAGCAGCTCCGTCTTGCCGAGGTTCAGCTTGAGGTGGTGATCCGTCATCCACACTGATATGTCTGCCTGACATGCAGAGATGCGATTCACCACCTGGTTATCAGAAGGGGGAAAGGAGAAGATTAGTTGTGTGTCGTCTGCATAGCAATGATAGGAGAGGCCATGTGAGGATATGACAGAGCCAAGTGACTTGGTGTATAGCGAGAATAGGAGAGGGCCTAGAACTGAGCCCTGGGGGACACCAGTGGTGAGAGCACGTGGTGCGGAGACAGATTCTTGCCACGCCACTTGGTAGGAGCGACCTGTCAGGTAGGACGCAATCCAAGAGTGAGCCGCGTCGGAGATTCCCAACTCGGAGAGTGTGGAGAGGAGGATCTGATGGTTCACAGTATCAAAGGCAGCAGACAGGTCTAGAAGGACAAGAGCAGAGGAGAGAGAGTTAGCTTTAGCAGTTCGAAGAGCCTCCGTGACACAGAGAAGAGCAGTCTCAGTTGAATGACCAGTCTTGAAACCTGACTGGTTTGGATCAAGAAGGTCATTCTGAGAGAGATAGCAAGAGAGTTGGCTAAAGACGGCACGCTCAAGAGTTTTGGAGAGAAAAGGAAAGAAGGGAATACTGGTCTGTAGTTGTTGACATCGGAGGGATCAAGTGTAGGTTTTTTGAGAAGGGGTGCAACTCTCGCTCTCTTGAAGATGGAAGGGACATAGCCAGCGGTCAAGGATGAGTTGATGAGCGAGGTGAGGTAAGGGAGAAGGTCTCCGGAAATGGTCTGGAGAAGAGAGGAGGGGATAGGGTCAAGCGGGCAGGTTGTTGGGCGGCCGGCCGTCACAAGTCGCAATATTTCATTTGGAGAGAGAGGGGAGAAAGAAGTCAAAGCATAGGGTAGGTCAGTGTGAGCAGGACCAGCAGTGTTATTTGACTTAACAACCGAGGATCGAATGTCGTCAACCTTCTTTTCAAAATGGTTGACAAAGTCATCTACAGAGAGGGAGGAGGGGGGGATTCAGCAGGGAGGAGAAGGTGGCAAAGAGCTTCCTAGGGTTAGAGGCAGATGCTTGGAATTTAGAATGGTAGAAAGTGGCTTTAGCAGCAGAAACAGAGGAAGAAAATGTAGAGAGGAGGGGGTGAAAAGATGCCAGGTCCGCAGGAAGTCTAGTTTTCCTCCATTTCCTCTCGGCAGCCCGGAGCCCTTTTCTGTGAGCTCGCAATGAGTCGTCAAGCCACGGAGCAGGAGGGGAGGACCGAGCCGGCTGGGAGGATAGGGGACATAGAGAGTCAAAGGATGCAGAAAGGGAGGAGAGGAGGTTTGAGGAGGCAGAATCAGGAGATTGGAGGGAGAAGGATTGAGCAGAGGGAAGAGATGATAGGATGGAAGAGTAGCGGGAGAGAGAGAGCGAAGGTTGCAACGGCGCATTACCATCTGAGTAGGGGCAGAGTGAGTAGTGTTGGAGGAGAGCGAGAGAGAAAAGGATACAAAGTAGTGGTCGGAGACTTGGAGGGGAGTTGCCGTGAGATTAGTAGAAGAACAGCATCTAGTAAAGATGAGGTCAAGCGTATTGCCTGCCTTGTGAGTAGGGGGGGACGGTGAGAGGGTGAGGTCAAAAGAGGAGAGGAGTGGAAAGAAGGAGGCAGAGAGAAATGAGTCAAAGGTAGACGTAGGGAGGTTAAAGTCACCCAGAACTGTGAGGGGTGAGCCATCCTCAGGAAAGGAACTTATCAAGGCGTCAAGCTCATTGATGAACTCTCCAAGGGAATGTCGTGTATTGAGATTATGACGTTGTTAAATGTTTTTAAGTGGAACTGAAAGAATGTTGATTTTAGTATCAAGAGGGAATGTTTTAGTGTAACGCCACATACAACAGACAGGAAGTGTGGTTGTAGACAGGGGAGACTGGTGATTGGCCAGAAGAGGGAGCATCTTTTTGCATTGTTTATAAGTAGGGGGAAAAACGAAGGAGAAGGCAGAGCGGCCATTCTGAGGCGTCGCTCTCCGGATGTCATGACATCTGTCACTTATGCTGTAACCTCGTGATATTAATAAAAGCCTCTAAAACACGGTGCAGCCTAAGCGGACTCCTTGTTGACAGCAATAGCCACGAACAACAGACACTACAGGAACCTGGAGGGCGATAAATGATAAGGATGTTAAGCTTGAATGGGCTAGTGGCTGTGACAGCATGGAATTCAAATGAGGAGATAGACAGATGGGTCAGGGGGAAAAGAGAGGAATGTCCACTTGGGAGAGATGAGGATTCCTGTGCCACCACCCCCGCTGACCAGATGCTCTCGGGGTATGCGAGAACACATGGTCAGACGAGGAGAGAGCAGTAGGAGTAGCAGTCTTTTCAGTGGTAATCCATGTTTCCGTCAGCGCCAAGAAGTCGAGAGACTGGAGGGTAGCATAGGCTGAGATGAACTCTGCCTTGTTGGCCGCAGAACGGCAGTTCCAGAGGCTGCCGGAGACCTGGAACTCCACGTGGGTCGTGCGTGCAGGGACCACCAGGTTAGAGAGGCAGCAGCCACGCGGTGTGAGGCGTTTGTATGGCCTGTGCGGAGAGGAGAGAACAGGGATAGACAGACGCATAGTTGACAGGCTACAGAAAATGGCTACAATAATGCAAAGGAGATCGGAATGAAATGAACTAAACATCTGGGAAAGCGAGAGAGCGGGGCCTCCCTCACTTACGTTTCACTGAAACACCCAAATATAACTCTCCCAATGTTGTAAACTACAGCGGTTCAATGATTTCTAGTAAAAGTCTAAATGTTTTTGGTTTTAAAT